TGTAATATGTTGATTATCGTCCGGCAAATCTCTTTGCTCACCTGCGGAGAGGAAAGCACCCCACCACAGCCTTTAAGGCTATGGTGGCCCTCAGGGATTCCTTCCTTGGGCAGACTCGAAAGTCCTAGTCCTCTCACCTTTAAGACTCAGCCGCTAGAGAGACACTTACCCTCTCCTTCCTCTCCCCTCTTTCCAGCCCTGGGAGTATCCAACCTCTCCAGGAAGGGTCCCGAAAAGCCTTGGCCAAGGTCTCCCACGGCTCTGGCTCCATCCAGAATGAGAGCTTTGACTGTCAGGATTCGGTGACGACCAATCTCTGCAGCTCATAACTGCCACTTAGGCACTCCTGATTTTTTGGCTCTAGCGGGGATGCCCCTTTTGCCAATAAATCAGTTTCCTCTTTCTCTGAGTCCTCTTTCCTTCTCCTTACATGGGTAATGTGTCCTCTCTGCCGGTCGACTCTCCCCTACAATGCCTCTTGGATCAAATATAGCACCCAGGCCTGGCCCACTTATCCCTTAGACAACCAAAGCAGATGGCCTATTTTTGGGTCCCTGGATCCCTCCATTCTAAGGGATCTCTTCCAGGCTTTATTCTTGCTCCGATCCAATCCTGCTCTCTGCACCTCTTGCAAACCTCTACAAATTCTTCTAGCCTGTCCAAAGGGCACTCAACAGATGACACAGTTCTCCTACTTAATTTCTTGGCCTTAAAGGGATATCGGGCCTCTCCATAAAAGGCCCAAATAGCATGTATCTAGGGTTCTCTATCTCTCAAGGGAAAAACACCATTACAGTAGACAGAAAACAGCTTATTGTGTCTATTCCTACACCAAAGACCAAAGATGACTCTCCTTCTTGGGTTTGGCTGGGTACTTCAGGGCCTGGATTACTTTTGAATTTCTCCCTCCTCACCAGGCCACTATACAATCTAGCCAAGGGCCCCAAGATGAACCCCTACCCTTAGGGAAGCCCTTTACAAAAAGACCCTTCTCTGGGCACCCGCCCTGCATCTCCCCAACCTCTCCCGACCCTTCACCCTCTATGTACATGAAAAACAGGGACAAAGTCTGGACATTCTGGGTCAGGAATATGGCTCCACATTTGCACTAGTGGCTTACCTATCCATCGACCCCACCATCAGGGGCTGGCCCCCATGCCTCAGAGCCCTAGCAGCAGCCCATGACCTCCAGAAAGAAGCACACAAGCTTACCTTTGGCTCCCTGCTAACCATCTCATCTCCTCACCATCTAAAGGATTTTCTCACTTACAAGGGGCTACAGTCACTTCCTCCTTCCAGGGTTCTATCCCTCCTTGTCTCTCCTTGAAAATCCCTCCATTTCTTTTCAGCCCTGCTCTTCATTAAATCCTGCCTCCCTCCTCCTCCTCCCATCTTCTCCCTCACAAGATCCCATCCACAAATGCCTGGAGGTATTAGAGACAATTTTACCCTGCCCTACCACCATTTCTGAAGGACCCCTGCCCTCTTATACATGAAGGGGTTAAAGTGGTGGGGTATGCTGTCGTTTCCCTCTCATCCATCATAGAGGCAAAACCTCTCCCACACAATATCACCAACCAACAAGCTGAACTCATAGCTGCCACAAGGGCATGCGAGCTAGCAGAGGGAAAAACCCTCTCCCTGTATACAGATCTCCCATGCAGCCATTTGGAAGAAAGGGGGCTATTGACCACCAAAGGGATGGCAGTCATTAATTCCACACTTATTTCTGGCCTACTACGAGCCTCCAGGCTGTCTTCCCAACTGGGAATAATCCATTGCAAGGCCCACCAAACTGACTCCTCCCTTACTACTATGGGTTATTCCAAGGCCGATCAAGTGGCTCAATCAGCCGCCCGCCCTACAGAGCTTTACCTCCTCTCTGCTACTCTTCGTTACCACCGAGGATCGGCCCAAAGATCCCCAACAATTCTTCCAGTTTCTTCACTCTGTATTCCATTCTAGTCCACAGAGTCTCACTACTTTCCTTCACTCCTTTTTCACCCTTTCCCCACGTGATAAGACCCTCCTACAACAGATCACTTCCGCTTGTCAGATCTGCCAGAGAACCTATACCAATACTCCATTAAAACCTAAACCTTTCCCTTCTCATCAGGCCCGTGGTCATACCCCGGCTGTAGACTGGCAGATTGATTTCATCAACATGCCCCAAGTAAAAAACATAAATATATTCTTGTATAGGTAGATACTTTTTTGGGATGGGTTGAAGCCTTTCCCACTTCTAACAAGCGGGCCTCTACGGTAGTTGATCTGTTGCTTACTCACATAATCCCCCGTTTCAGGATGCCCACTTCTATCCAATCAGACAATGGCCCAGAATTCACCTCGCAGGTAACTCAGGGACTGGCTCACACACTATCACTCCCTTGGCATTTCCATTGCCCTTACCGCCCTCAGGCTTCTGGAAAGATTGAAAGGACCAATCGGTCCCTTAGACCCTCACCAAGCTCACCATGGAATTAAGCCTGGACTGGGTAAAGGTGCTCCCCTTGGCTTTATTGTGCATTAGGGCCTTACCAAAGAAGCCTTCTAATCTCTCACCTTTCGAAGTCATTTATGGCTGTCCCCTCATTCCTCCCAGATTGCCTACAGAACCCCTAACTATCTCTGAAACCTATGCCCTGCCCTTCCTCTTCCATTTACAATCTGAACTCTGGCACTATCAAGACTGGCTCCTTCCTGACCCCAGTCTCTTTCAAAACCCTACCTCCTTAACACCTGGTCAACTTGTTTACTATTGCCCACCGGGGAAAAAGCCCCCTCTAAAAACAAAATGGGAGGGTCCTGCTCAGGTGATTATGTGCACTCCCTTGGTGGCCAAACTCAAGCTGTCTAATAACCAACTTACCCCATGGATTCATATTTCCAGGCTTAAGCCCGGCACTCCTACACCTTCATCAGAAGAGCCAACGATCGTCACCTGTCATTAAGTACTCTTGTCAATGCTCCCCCTCATTTCTGGCCCCTCTTGGGTCCTCTCTTTGTCCTGTATCTGAAGATTCAAGGCAAGTGACCCTAAGGGCCCCCTGCAGCCAGAACCCCCCCTACTTGCTTGAATATGGCCAGTAGTGGGACCGTTGTGTGTTGTCCTTCTGACAAACCACTTAGGTGTCCAGAGTATGGTGACCCCTGAATAAGTGTGATCATAAGAGAGCACTTTACCAGTTGCCTTCTGGGCCTAAGGAGGAACATGTGTATTTTGTTTACCTTCCCAGTTTCGTAAGAATTTCAAGTATCAGTATTTAAATTTGAGGTGTTTCACATAAAACCTGGAGAGATCTGACTGCTCTCAAAGGGAAATATGGTAACAGTGGGCCACCATCCTCCCTTGGCTGCCTTCGAGAAAGGCAAAGAGAGAAGCAAGCTGGTACACCCAGGTAGGAGAAAGTTTGAAGAGCAGCCTTAATAGAGAGGGGAGGGAGCTAGATTGGACTAGGAATGAAGAGTGGAATTGAGGGTGTTAGGTGCAGGACAGGCTGGTCTGCAGGGCATGCCAAACAAAGTTAGCTGCAGGATGACCTGGCTTCTCAAACCCTCTGTCTGGTTCTTTATCACCTGTTTGCTTCAAGCCCAAACGCCCAAGCCCCTGCTCAAGGCTGAACACTCAACCCCCCACTCAAGGTTGAACACTTAACCCCCCTTGTGCCAACAAGGCAGCTTGCAGACCCAAGACCCCATTAGATTTGGGCTATAAAAACTCCCTGTGCCTGTTCCTTCCCCCTATCATAAAGTTCATTCAGACTCAGGTGGGTAAAATTTCTAGTCAAGTTTTTAACCAGCTTCTCCTCAGGAATTACCAACTCCTGGCTACTGATGACCATAGTCGAGACCTATGCCGAATGGACTGAAAACATCATGGATCTGTGGTGGCAAGGAACCTTCATTGATACCAGTCTTCTCTGCCCTCCTGTGGGGGCTCCTTACTTCCCTCCTCTCTTTCTCCCATGCTGCCCCATCACAGCAGGAAGCAGCCACAATGAGTCAACGCCCACTCTCATTTAATAACAAAGAGGGGGGAATGTTGGGAGTCGCCCTGGCTCCAAAGACTAACTTCCTCATCCCCCAAGAAGAGCCATCCAATGGTGAGCCCTGCTGCTCACATGATCCTGCCGTCCAATGGTGAGCCCTGCTGCTCACATGATCCTTACCCACCAATCAGAAAACACCCCAGCCAACTGTCAAACCGTTCAACCATTAAACTATCATAACTGTCAAACCACCCCCGGCTCTATAAATATGCAGAGCTGTTCCTCAATAAACAGGCATTTTCTCCGACATCGAGCCTTGTTTGTTCTTTCAATAGGGCCAGGATTTGAACATGAGAAATCTGACCTTGGAGGTCAAGGCCCCCACCACCATGCTAGTGACAATCTCTTTTGCAGGATACAGATGTCAGTCCAGTCTTCCCTTGTGCAACTCCACCTAAAGATTAGAACAATCCAGGATTGGGGTTGTGGCTCAGCGGTAGAAAGTTCACCTACCATGTGCAAGGCACTGGGTTCAATCTTCAGCACCACATAAATAAAGGTATTGTGTCCAACTACAACTAAAAATAAAATAAAATAAATATTTTTTTTTAAAAAAAGATTAGGGCAGTCCATCTGCCGACTCAATTTAAAATTCACCTTTATGACATTTATTCAAATGTTGCATTTTCTTCTTTGGGAATTCATTCTCTTCCAGTTGCAAAAACACAGAAAAATGCTGCTGCAACGTGGCATTTGCATTTGTGGGGAAAAACTGAATAACTTTAATTTGAGACCATGAAGGAAAAGAGAGGTTCAGATGGTATAATACTCAAGAGGGAAAAGAAGGGAGAAAAGCACAGCTCATACAACTTTTTGTTGTGATGGTTCAGAAATGGATGTTTAATTTTTAAAATATTATTCTTCAAAAAGTATAGAAATACACCTGGCAATAACCTGTAGAAGTCAACCATCTGCTTCAAATATACATAAGAAATACACCCAACCAAAAACTCTGCTTCATCAGAATTTATTTAGCAACACATCTATATTATCAGGACAACACCCAAATGGATACATTTGACAGATTCTTGTAAAGTGGATAGAATTTTCTGACAGATTGTTTTTTCCCCTTGATAAAAGCTGTAACAGTTATGAGGCTTTGAAAGATAAGTTTAAAGGGCCACAACATGGACTACCAGGGCCAGGAACTATGGAGGCATGCACACAGGGTCCAGGAGTCAGGAAAGCCTCAAAAGAGGTGCCAGTCCCCTGTTTCTGCTGTGAGCAAACAAGGCTGCAAGGTAAGAAGCACAGAGAAGAAGGTGCTTCCTCTGCAGGGAAGATCCTTGGCTTCCCATTCAGGAATCACAAGACATAACACTCAAGAGAAAAAAGAAAAGGAAATTCCCTACACATCCTCTGAGCTTCCTTCAGGGAACAAGGGCTCACTGTGCTTAAAGGAGTGGGTGTGTTAGGACCACTGCCTTTGGGATGTGGAAGTTTGCCAGGGAGGACACCCACCCACTTCCCTTCAAGCTTTCTCAAGGCACCAGATTGGAGCCCCCAAGTAACTACCATTAACAGGAACAAAACACTCTAGAGAGAAGAGTAGGCTGGCACTTGATTTGTCCTCATTGAAAGTGAAGCATTAGGTCTGAATTCAGCCTGAAGAGATGAGAGCCACCAGGAGACTAATGAGCTGAGAACGCTGCCCTCCTTCTTCCACCCACTCTGGCACCTACTAAAACTTCACTGGGAAGGAGGAAATAAAGAGCTTGCCTGGTCTAGGTGTTGCTTTGGCATTTTACAATGATTACTTCTCCCTGTTCCGTTCATGGCTCTGTCTGTGAGAACCACAGTTGTACAACACATTGAAAATGAGACTGGCATGCCGATCCATTCTCTCAGAAGAGAGTCATTTTTGTCACTCTTGCCAGTCTTTTGGGCAGAATCAGCTTTCCTAATCAAGTATTTTTAGTTGATGTTTCCAAAGAACCCAGATCATGCTAACTTTGCATTTCTCAGCCACCTTTTAATGCCAAAAGTTTCCATAACATGTTTTTTTCCAATATGCTTTACTCATACTGATTGTGAAACAGCATCTTTCATATGAGATCATGTGGAAGAGAAAAGACTACAGTGCCATGGGCACCTCTGAGCAATCTTTCTTCTCCACCTCTAAGTTTCTCTCTCATTTGTTAATAAAATACAGTTTAATAAAAAAAAAAAAGAAAGAAAGAAACCTTAATTAAGAGCCTGCAGTGTTTTCCAGCTAACACTGGCCATGACAGAATGATGCAGGTCCATTTTTCAAAGGCTCTGATGACGTCAAAAGAATGTCAGTATAATCAAAAACAAAAATTCCCCTTGTCCCCTGAACATATCTAAGGCCATATCTGTCAAACAGAGGTGGAATTGTCATCCCTTACTTATACTCCAATTAGAGGGATGAAGGATATCGGGAGGAATAGTGAGACACATAATTTGAACTTTCAGGGAAACAATGCCAGATGCCATGACCCTATCTTCTCAATAGAAAAGGTTTTTCTGTTTGTTTTATTTAAGTTACCCAAATATGCATCTTCTTTGTAATCTCTCCACTCCAAAATTATCTTGGGCTTCCCTTAGTGTTTCTGCTCCCTCTGAACTTGTGGAATTCCTCTATGTGTGTTCTCTTCTGAGCCCAGGAAAATGAGAACTCCCCCAGAAATGCACATGGAGCACTCACCCAAGACTTGTTCCAATCTGCCTAACTTTCATCCCATAGAGAGGAATGTAGACTTTACTGAGCACATGGATCACTGAGACAAATATGTCTACTCCTTCAATAAATAGACATTTTGATTTTATAGAGATTTCCCTTTCATTCAAAAGCATTTGCCCTATACAGAAGGAATCACCCTACAGTGGGTTGCAATGAGATCTCAGAACTCATGGTCACAGTGAAGGAAGGGCAGGAATGTAGAAGTTCTCTGTTACTTCCAGGGATTTACAATCCTTGCTAGGAATCCACCTTTGGAAAAATGCTCACTTTGTTGTTTCTGCTCATCTTCCGTTCTACCCTGCTTGCCTTGGGCATCTTTGTCTGGATCAGCTCTTCTGGGGTATTGCCCAAGGGGGGAAGCAGCCTCTTCTTGCTGTTTCGGGTCTCTGACAGCCACTGAGGAGGCAACTCAAAAGGCCCAAAGCCAAACTGCAGCGAATACTTGTCAGGGAATGTCTCAGGCTCCACAGGGGCTGCTGGTGCCACCTGGGATACAGAATCTACTGCGCCTGGGGGTGGCGTGGGGCGTGCAAACTGTGGTCCCTGTTGTCCCTCCAGGCAGGTGCCTTCTTTGGCCTGGAAGTCAACCGAGCCGAGGTACTTGGCTTCACTCTCTTCCTCATCCTCTGTGGGCTTAAAGATCTGCTGCTGCCCAATGTGGAACATCTCTAGGAGCTGGCTGCCTGAGCGCACACTGGGTTCCAGGCTGGTATCAGTCACCCCACTCCCAGTACTTACCACATTCCGGCGGCTGTACTTGTGGTGCAGCTGCACCAGGGTCCCTATCAAGCACTTGCGGACTGATTTGTTCACAGTTAGGAAAAGCACAGGGTTTGCCAGCAGAGAGACCTTGGGCAACCAAATGGCAGTGAGCAGCAAGAAGACAGAAGTGTCAGGGATGTTGAGCACAGTCTGGTAAACAACCAGGGTGGCGTAGGGCACACTGCACAGGGTGAAGACCATCACCATGGAGAGCAGGGTGGCATGTAGCTCAGCCTCCCGCTGGGAGGCATAGGGGATGGAGACAGTGTTCTGCGGGGTCCGAAGCGCTGCTATGATGACCTTCTTCTTTTGGCTGGCACTCAGGGCCCGTCGGATCAGGATCAGGAAGAGAAACACCACAGCCACAGGCACAATGACCGTAGTGATGTTATAGATTAGAACATACACGATGTGGCCCAAGGAGTTGCTCCAGACTTCTGTGCATGTGGACATGGCATAGATATCAGCCACATTGGTCACTGCAAACACAGGGACACTGGCCACAATTGCATGGGCCCAGATGTACATCACCAGTTCCCGGGACTTGGCATCAGATATTTTTCTCTCCAGTGGATAGAGGACAGAGTAGTACCTGCACAATACACAATCAAAATTAATTTCACAGAAGATACTCTGCCAATTAAGGAAAAATAAATTACCAAAAGTAGGCAAGACGGGGGAAAGGGTCAGGTTCTTCTCTTTGGCTTAAGCCAGGGAACCACTAGAGGAATCCAGAAAGCTAGACCTTAAGTTTTGAGAACTCTATCATACACTAAGAAGTATCATAGCATCAGTACACCAAAATAAATAAATGAGCTGTAAATACATCTATTTTCCACTTTAAGGGTAAAAGGTAACTTATTACATTTTTACATGGATGAGAGACTCTTCAGGGAAATTTTTGAAGCCACTAGCAAGAAGAAATTTGTCTACACACATATTCAAAGCCAACCATGCAGTGGATATCATTAGCATTCAAAGCAGTTCAGGGCAGAAGAACTTGGGTGAAGTCTGGATTCCAACAAGTCCCAGATAACAAAAATTATGCCTCCTCAATTGCCATTGTTCTCATGATAACTCTATGAGAAAATGATAGTATTAAAATGCTGGCACAATTAACTTTTTGCTAAAACCAGATGAGACTTTTTTCCTTCTAAGCTTTAGCTTGATGATTCTATAACCTCTCAAACAAATTCACTTTGTTTTATTATCACCAGTGATTTGGGAAAACTGAGTAATTCATTCTAGAGCCACACATATTATAAAGGTGCTGCCACCTTCCATCAGAGATATGGTGAGTGTCTTCATCTAAACTCAGCCCATGTCTCTTCTGTCAGCTAATATTGGAGTTGACCTCCCAACACAGTGACGTTCACTCACTCATGGGGCCAGATAAGCATGCATGACAAGTACCATCTCTGTACCTGTCCTGTGGCAATTCCTGGGTTACAAACATGGAAGATGCACAGAATGTCTCTAAATTCCATGGTAAGAAAGACATGTACATGAAAAATTATAAACAAGGAAGTGATGGCTTTACTGGAGGCAGGTACAGGACAGGGACACCTAGAGCTACCTGGGAAAATATCAAAGAGAAAGCAGCATTGTGATGGAGTCTGGCAGGGGGACAGCAGGGAGGAACATCCCAGACTGAGATGTGATGAGAGCACAACAGTGACCATGGATGATCAGGAAAGGATGGAACATGGTGAAATGTGTTCTAGATTTCTTTCTGGTAAGGAAAGAAAGAGAAAGACATGCATAAATGAGGCATACTCTCAAAAATTTTTTCCTTAATACAGATCAATATTTCCAATCACAAGTCTATAAACATGTGATGACTCCACCCCCACACATGAATGCATGCCCAGAAGTCTACTAGCTCTGCTTACATTTCCTCACTCATATGAACAAACCCAGGCCCCCATCAATTGCTTATTCCATTATGTATTACAACACAAGCACATAGTCCTCTTATAAATACATCTCTAGAAGATGATGCAGGAAGTGTGGGTGGCCTTTCAATTAATTTGCTAACTTGGTGCCATGAAACCAATAGCTGCAAAAGAAATGAAAGGATGTCTTCCCTTCTCCCTCATGCACACCATGCTGGTTCCTGAAAATGACTTCTGTGTAATAAAACAGGAATTTACCCAGCTTATTTTTCTACTAAAAGAACTTGTTTATCTTTTTGTGTTAATGGAGGTAAAAATGCAAAGTTCTTCTGATGTAAAGATAATAAGGATTTCTTTTTGTTTTTATATTTCTATATCTAAGATCAGGGCCCAGAATAAGGCTCAGAAATTACTGCACTGTTTCCAGGTATAGTAAAACACTATTCAGTATAAGATGTCCCCACTCTTGTTGAAAACTATGATTAAAAATTTTCAGGATTCATATCAGCATTATTCACAACAGCCAAAAAGTGGAAACAAACCAATGTCCATCAACTGAGAAATAGAAAAACAAAAAGTGGTTTACCTTACAATGAAATGTTATTTAGCCATAAAAATGAATATTCATGCTATAATATTGGTAAAACCTTGAAAACATGCCAAGTGAAAGAAGCTAGATGTGAAATAACACATACTATATGATTCCACTTAAATGAAATATTCAAACAAAGGCAAATATAGAGAGACAGACAGAAAGTAGATTGTGGTTGCCTAGGTCTGGGGTGGGAATGGGAAGTGACTTCAATGGGCACAAAAGAGAGTCACAGAGCAGAATACTTTGTGCAAAAATTTGATGACCACAAAGTGCCCATTGGGAGGGTGCTGACTACACAACTCTATAAATACACTAAAATTCATTTACTTGTACCTTTAAAATGGCTACATTTTCTAATATGTAAATTATATCCCAAAACCACTTTAAAACAAAAACTTCCAGGAAAGAAGACTTGTGATACAAAGCTGAAAACTTAATATTCCACCAGGTCAGTGTCACACACCTACCAGCCTAACTACTGGGAAGACTGAAACAGGAGGACTGCTTGAACCTAGGAAATAGATGCCAGACTGGGCAACACAGCAAGACCTCATCTCAAAAGGAAAAAGATTTCACCAGACCAGACAGTACAAGGAGCAGTGGAAAAAAACATCTCTCACAGACACAAGCAGTTCAACACCAAATGCATTAGAGCAGCCACTAGAGTGTGAACTTGAGCCAAGGACTCTGGCTTCCAAATTATAAAAAGGCAATAACTAAGAATAAGATTCATTTCCAAATGAATATCCTTTTAAAAATGATCACATGGAAAAACCACCACCATGACAATATGAAGCCTTGGATCTAAATTGTCCAGAGGAATTCTAGTGTTATCTGATGAGGTCCAAATAGGCCATTTGTTAAGTAACTACTGAATCATTCTCTTGTTCTTCCAGAAATGTTTTCATCCTGCATCAAAGATCCCTAATTGCAATGTTACCAATCAGATGAGCAATCTACTTTTAATTGCAATGCAATACCAATTCCAACCAAGATGATGTGACACCATGATCCAGTAGCTCTGCTCTAGCATCCTCACCATATAACCCCATGCCATGTCTTTTTGTAAGGATCTTATTTTCCACGGCTGCTGCAAATCAATCCATCCTTTGTGAGGCTGTGTTTTAGACATTCATTCCACCCCCCCCCCTTTTTTTTTTTTACCAAAAGCAGACTAAAAAGCAGCATATGGAACATTGACTATTCATCATTTGGTTCATGATGCTCAGTTTTCAATATACTTTTTAAATAAAAGCTGAGCCCCTAGCAACCTGAACTTACCTGTCCAAAGCAATGGCAGGGAAGCTGAGGATAGTCACAGAGCAGAACACTTTGTGCAAAAACTTGACGACCTTGCAGAAGAGCATGGTGTAGATCCACCAGCAACAGTGAGGACTGGTGCTGAGGACGATGTCAAAGGGCACGCAGACCAGGCTGGCACAGATCCCCGAGCAGGCCAGGTTTTTAATGAACCTGTTGGTGACAGATTTGAACACTGTTGTGCGGCAAGTTGACCATAACACCATGAAGTTTCCTGGCCAGATATGCAAAAATAAAAATAAAAAAACAAATTAAGAATTTAAATAAAAATTAAAAATAAAAAATCAAGAAAAGGAAAGAAAGAAAATTTAGGTTAAAAAGAATGTTTAAAACACCTTTCAGATTTGACTTCAAAGGATTTCATTTAAACACTCACATATTGTCAATTTATGTAAAATTAGATTGCACACACATCATAAAGTGTAGGTGACATTTTGGTGGTAAGTTTTGTTATTTAATTTTAGGCAAAATGGAATTATGATGATGATGAGTTAGTATCACTGGCATATAAACAATTAGCTGGGTATTACTTAATCTCAGGTAGTCTACTGTTATCAAGTTTGCTAATGACTTCCAAGTTGCCAACTGCAATACAAGTACACTGTAGGTCACACATGTAATTTAAATTTTTCTCATAGATACCTTTTTGTTTGTTTGTTTTATAGTTGTAGGGGGACACAATATCTCCATTTCGCTTTTTTTCAATTTTTAAAATTTTTTTTCAGGTGTTGTTAGACCTTTATTTATTTATACATGGTGCTGAGAATCGAACCCAGTGCCTCACACATGCCAGGCAAGTGTGCTACCACTGAGCCACAGCCCCAGCCCTCCATTTCACTTTTATGTGGTGCTGAGGTTCAAACCCAGCACCTCTCGTGTGCTAGGCGAGTACTCTACCACTGAGCCACAACTCCAGCCCATCATAGATACCTTTTTATAAGTAAAAAGAAGCAAGTGAAATTTTAATAATAAATTTAATTTAACCCAATAAATCCCAAATATTATCATTCCACATGTAATCATTATTTTAAAATACTAATGAACTATTTTCCATTCTTGTTTTTGTACCATTTTCAAAACCCTGTGTACATTTTATTTTACACCAACAACACATCTCAATTTGAACTAGTTACATGTGCTGAATGGCCACATGCAGCTAGTGACTACCATACTAAATAGTGATACTCCAGACTTTTCAGCTGTAGTGACACAGTCAGCCCTCTCTCTTTGAGCATTCTCCTCTATGGTTTCCAGAGAACTACTATCTCCTTGCTTTCCTCCTACCTTCTCACCTCTGCCAGCCCCTAACCTATCCAGGTCTTCTTTTCTCAGTCCATCCTCTATTCTTTCTACAGCCCCTTCCTAGGTTACACTCTATTCCTGTGGTTTTTCCATTAAAATGCTGATGACTTCCAAATTCATGTCCCTAAGAAGGCCTCTCCCAACTCTAGACGGCTATTTCCAACTAAGTTTCCGATCCCATAATCCCCTTCAGTCTATTACATCTTTCCATGGTCCTCAAGGGCCTACATGATCTGGTGTCTGCCTCCCTCATCTCACACCATCTTCTGGCTTGCTGGGCACCAGCTCTTCTGTCCTTTTTCTGCTCTCAAAACACATCAAGCCTTTTCCTATCTCAGTGTCTTTACCCAAGTTTTTTATACTGCCTAGCGTGAACCTCATATGTCTGGATCCTTTTAATCCAGGTAGTAATTTAAATGCTGCCACCTACAAAAGGCTTTCTCTCACCCTCTTTTTATTTTTATTTTAAATACTGCTCCTCCTTTCATTATCTTCTAATGTGGTACCCTATTTTATCCTTTGCAGTTCTTATAATTATTGGTTATTTGTTTTCTCTCCATTTCATGAGAACAAAAACCATGTCAATCTTGTTCACTGTTATAAGTCCACACCTGGCTCAGTATCTGGCACAGAGCAGGCATCTGATAAATATTTGTTGAATAAATGAATTTGTAAAAATAAGTGGACAAACAGTAACCAAAAGTCCCTGCAGGAGGACAACCCCTTTTGTAATTTGTGTGTCCATCAGTAGGTAGTCTCCACATGTCCCTCTATATCAGAATGACTAAACCAGTATCAGAATAGGTATGGGAATGGACACCCAAGTTGTGAAAGTGTCCCAGCATAATGACCCAGAGCAAAAGTTTCACAAATGCCACTTCTGGACGCCGTACAGCTCACCCTGAATCTCCAAGGGCCCCAGTCTTCAGATATGCAGTGCAGCCTACTCTACTTTTGCCTGGGGAGAGAGCAGGACCATCAGGTCAATCAGTCACGCCCTAAGGATACCGCTACCTCCTGTGCCCAAGTTCACAGAATGGCTTCTAATGAACTGAGCTGACAGCCACAGCGTGCTTTGAAGGAGAGTGATGGTTCCGGGCAGCGACAGCAGAGTTCAGGCCTACAGACAAGGTCACGGCAAGGAGCTGCCTCATTGCCTCAGATGTAGACAGAACTTACTGTCAACAGTTTCTCTTCAAATGCAATATCCTACAGCTGCCCATTATCCCACAAGCAAAGTAGGAAAGTAGGAAAGCAAAGTAGGAAAACCAGCCACTGAATGTAGATATGTAGGCCAGCTGCCTCTAGGAAAATCTCTACTGAACTCTATATTAGTATGGTGACTTGTGAGATGAACTCAGCCGTTTGTATACACACACACACACACACACACATTTATTCAGTTGTTTTTACTAGTACCACCAGACAACAAATGATTTATTTGAAACTCGATTGATTAAGGATTTTATTTTTTGCCTGTCATTCCTCCACAAAAGCACAGATTAGAGTCTGACTGAGGCATCTTTTCTCACTTCAGTTTTACAGACAAGACTTAAAGTCTGGTAGCTACTTATTAATAAAATAGACAACTTGAAGAAATTGTCCGTGGAGGGAGCATGCGTGCCGGGTTCTTCAGCTTCCACAATTGGGGGTGTCTCCAGTCCACTGTTCAAGTAAGCTATTTTCTTGTTAAAGTCAAACACTTAGGATTTTTTCTCTCGTAACTGTTAATATTTGTTAATAACTATTAATATGTTAACTTTCGACCTAACCTACCCAACACATGGTAGGATATGTTGAATATAAAATCTCAAATAACATAACAAGCAGGAAAATTCATTGCAAAGGGCAGGCTGTGGGCCTCAGGTCTCTTATCTTTTGAAACCTACCTTAAATTAATTTCCATCATTATCCTCATATTCCACATTCCCATCCATATCTTTCCTTCCTTATTAAGTCAGGCATGCTTTTTTATTGCTTTTTTTCTAAATCATACTTTAAGTTTATTTGTTATAATAATAATTTGAGGTCAAAATATTCCAGCTGTGGGATAGGGTGCCTGATATACCATCATAGGAATCATACAGACAATAAAATGAACATTTTATAAACACATCCACACTTGTGAATGAGGAAATTTGTTTTCTCACCTTTTTTTTTTTTAAGAAAGGCAGACAGACACATGCAGCACCACATTTGGATGTGTCTGGAGTCTTGGAGGTATGACTACCATATGTTCTCCTGAAAATGGACCTTGAGGCTTGTTTAGAGGTTCCAGCAGGGGAGCACAACTACTCATATGCCCTTGACTAAAGAATGGTCCTCCTTCATGGGGGAAGATAGTCCTCCTCTCCTGAGCACTCATGGAATGAGAGAGGAAGGGGATACCCTCCTAGCCACCAGAAAGATTAAATCAACTCTGAAGATCAGAGCAGTGATAGAGGTCAAAGTCAGATTGCCCTCACACTCAGAAAACCTGTTTTCAGTATATTACTGGAAAAGTCTGAGAGTGCTGTAGTCACATTTTATCTCCACCTACATAAGACTCTAGGCGACACCTAGACCTAACCTGATTTGTTATTAAGAACATGACACTAAAGAACACTATGTTCTTTCCATTTTCTAAACCATCATTCTCTCTCATTTAAAACCGACTTGCTTGGCTCTAAGAACCTGAATTGGATCAAAGTTATCAGGAGAGAACTGCCTACATCCAATTTCTGATTGGCCACACACACACACGATTAACTACAACTGACTAATAATGAAGAACCACCCATTTTTTTCCCAGCTAAATTTAGCTGTCCATTTGAACTGATATATTGGGTTTTACATCTTTGAGAGCAAAAATCTCGGTGTGTTAAAGAGACTAATTTAAAAAATGAAAAAAAGATATTTCAAAAGAGCCATAGGAAACAGTGTCTTTGAAAATCCTTCTGGGAAAATAGGTACATTACCCTTTTTCAACTACTCTCTTCCCCAGAGACTTAAAGCAGTAAAAAGATACATGGTCATGCTTTTACAGAAAGATAGTAGATCACCCAGAACATTCTAAAAACTGAAACTTGAAAAAAAGCAAGTGCTCACAAGAGTCAAAATTTTGTCAAAAGGAAAAGTCAAAAATACTCTGTAAATGGTAATAGTATAAAACCCTGAAAAAAGAAAAGAAAATGAAACAGACTGTGGCCAAGAAAGAGGCCAAAGTGAACAGACAAAGGTTAGAAGAATTTCAAAGGAATTTTCACCCTCAGCAAGCTCCATGTGATACAAGAGGAGGGTATAAGCAAATTAAGTAATACTAACACTATAATAGGAGAAACAACAGACAACCACTTTGAGCAGAATGGATTTCTAAATGTCTTCTTGCCTTCTATGTTCAGTTGAAAGGTGGCCAAAAGCAAAGTCTCTAGGGTTAAAAGAATTATGTGAAGGGGAATAAGAAAATACTTTTAATCAATCTGCCAGATAACAAGAGTGACTCCTAGCCTGTCTACATCTTCATATTTCAAGTGTCTTTCTCTATAGATGGCACTTGCTTTTTTAACTGATCTGACAGTCTGTTTTAACTTGTATACTTAGAACCTTTACATTTAATGTAAATTGTGGTGATTGGATTAACATCTACCATCTTGTTAGTTGTCTCCTATTTGCCCCATCTGTTCTTTATTCCTATTTTCTTCTTTATCTTCCTGATTTTGGATTTTCTTTTTCATAATTCCATCTTATCTCCATTTTTATTTTTGTTCTTCTGTGTGTAATGTATCCTTTTTTTTCTCACTATCTTCAAAATTTTTTCTTTATCTTTGGTTTTTGGAAGTTTGAATATGATCTGTGTGTGCACATTCTGTCCAGGATATTGTGATTTTCTTGAATTATGGTTTATGTCTTTTATTATTTTTGGAAAATTCCTGG